AAACATACAGACACACATTAGTTTATATATATATGTATATAGATTACCATCCCTAGATCTCGCATAAAACAAATTTTACAAAGGATTTTTATAAAGTAGGATGTATGTTGACCTATTATTATCTCTCATTTACTTAATTGTATGTTACTTTTAATCCAGTTGTGGCACAATTTCTTTTTAAGATTTATTTTCAAAATCGTGAAAAAACTTCTAACATATAGATGGTATTTTCTCGCCTTTATAAGTGGTGTTGGAGGGTTTGTATTTATTTTTTGCGGTGCGTGTCATAGTGTCGACACTATGGGTATGTTATACACATGTATATATAATACCTACTTATACATATGTACATTGTACATATTTGAATGTTACTCCTTGACATGCAACAGTTTTAAAAAAGTAGTTTTGGACCAGCTCTCAGGCCTCTATAGACTAGACTATAGACTAGATTATAGTCTAGACTAGACTAGACCATAGTCTAATCTATAGTCTAGTCTATAGTCTAGTCTATAGTCTAGTCTATAGTCTAGTCTATAGTCTAGTCTATAGTCTAGTCTATAGTCTAGTCTATAGTCTAGTCTATAGTCTAGTCTATAGTCTAGTCTATAGTCTAGTCTATAGTCTAGTATATAGTCTAGTCTATAGTCTAGTCTATAGTCTAGTCTATAGTCTAGTCTATAGTCTAGTCTATAGTCTAGTCTATAGTCTAGTCTATAGTCTAGTCTATAGTCTAGTCTATAGTCTAGTCTATAGTCTAGTCTATAGTCTAGTCTATAGTCTAGTCTATAGTCTAGTCTATAGTCTAGTCTATAGTCTAGTCTATAGTCTAGTCTATAGTCTAGTCTAGTCTATAGTCTAGTCTAGTCTATAGTCTAGTCTAGTCTAGTCTATAGTCTAGTCTAGTCTATATCTAGTCTAGTCTATAGTCTAGTCTAGTCTATAGTCTAGTCTAGTCTATAGTCTAGTCTATAGTCTAGTCTATAGTCTAGTCTATAGTCTAGTCTATAGTCTAGTCTATAGTCTAGTCTATAGTCTAGTCTATAGTCTAGTCTATAGTCTAGTCTATAGTCTAGTCTATAGTCTAGTCTATAGTCTAGTCTATAGTCTAGTCTATAGTCTAGTCTATAGTCTAGTCTATAGTCTAGTTTATAGTCTAGTCTATAGTCTAGTCTATAGTCTAGTCTATAGTCTAGTCTATAGTCTAGTCTATAGTCTAGTCTATAGTCTAGTCTATAGTCTAGTCTATAGTCTAGTCTATAGTCTAGTCTATAGTCTAGTCTATAGTCTAGTCTATAGTCTAGTCTATAGTCTAGATAGTCTAGTCTATAGTCTAGTCTATAGTCTAGTCTATAGTCTAGTCTATAGTCTAGTCTATAGTCTAGTCTATAGTCTCTCTATAGTCTAGTCTATAGTCTAGTCTATAGTCTAGTCTATAGTCTAGTCTATAGTCTAGTCTATAGTCTAGTCTATAGTCTAGTCTATAGTCTAGTCTATAGTCTAGTCTATAGTCTAGTCTATAGTCTAGTCTATAGTCTAGTCTATAGTCTAGTCTATAGTCTAGTCTATAGTCTAGTCTATAGTCTAGTCTATAGTCTAGTCTATAGTCTAGTCTATAGTCTAGTCTATAGTCTAGTCTATAGTCTAGTCTATAGTCTAGTCTATAGTCTAGTCTATAGTCTAGTCTATAGTCTAGTCTATAGTCTAGTCTATAGTCTAGTCTATAGTCTAGTCTATAGTCTAGTCTATAGTCTAGTCTATAGTCTAGTCTATAGTCTAGTCTATAGTCTAGTCTATAGTCTAGTCTATAGTCTAGTCTAGTCTAGTCTATAGTCTAGTCTATAGTCTAGTCTATAGTCTAGTCTATAGTCTAGTCTATAGTCTAGTCTATAGTCTAGTCTATAGTCTAGTCTATAGTCTAGTCTATAGTCTAGTCTATAGTCTAGTCTATAGTCTAGTCTATAGTCTAGTCTATAGTCTAGTCTATAGTCTAGTCTATAGTCTAGTCTATAGTCTAGTCTAGTCTATAGTCTAGTCTATAGTCTAGTCTATAGTCTAGTCTATAGTCTAGTCTATAGTCTAGTCTATAGTCTAGTCTATAGTCTAGTCTATAGTCTAGTCTATAGTCTAGTCTATAGTCTAGTCTATAGTCTAGTCTATAGTCTAGTCTATAGTCTAGTCTATAGTCTAGTCTATAGTCTAGTCTATAGTCTAGTCTATAGTCTAGTCTATAGTCTAGTCTATAGTCTAGTCTATAGTCTAGTCTATAGTCTAGTCTATAGTCTAGTCTATAGTCTAGTCTATAGTCTAGTCTATAGTCTAGTCTATAGTCTAGTCTATAGTCTAGTCTATAGTCTAGTCTATAGTCTAGTCTATAGTCTAGTCTATAGTCTAGTCTATAGTCTAGTCTATAGTCTAGTCTATAGTCTAGTCTATAGTCTAGTCTATAGTCTAGTCTATAGTCTAGTCTATAGTCTAGTCTATAGTCTAGTCTATAGTCTAGTCTATAGTCTAGTCTATAGTCTAGTCTATAGTCTAGTCTATAGTCTAGTCTATAGTCTAGTCTATAGTCTAGTCTATAGTCTAGTCTATAGTCTAGTCTATAGTCTAGTCTATAGTCTAGTCTATAGTGTCTATAGTCAAGTCTATAGTCTAGTCTATAGTCTAGTCTATAGTCTAGTCTATAGTCTAGTCTATAGTCTAGTCTATAGTCTAGTCTATAGTCTAGTCTATAGTCTAGTCTATAGTCTAGTCTATAGTCTAGTCTATAGTCTAGTCTATAGTCTAGTCTATAGTCTAGTCTATAGTCTAGTCTATAGTCTAGTCTATAGTCTAGTCTATAGTCTAGTCTATAGTCTAGTCTAGTCTATAGTCTAGTCTATCTATAGTCTAGTCTATAGTCTAGTCTATAGTCTAGTCTATAGTCTAGTCTATAGTCTAGTCTATAGTCTAGTCTATAGTCTAGTCTATAGTCTAGTCTATAGTCTAGTCTATAGTCTAGTCTATAGTCTAGTCTATAGTCTAGTCTATAGTCTAGTCTATAGTCTAGTCTATAGTCTAGTCTATAGTCTAGTCTATAGTCTAGTCTATAGTCTAGTCTATAGTCTAGTCTATAGTCTAGTCTATAGTCTAGTCTATAGTCTAGTCTATAGTCTAGTCTATAGTCTAGTCTATAGTCTAGTCTATAGTCTAGTCTATAGTCTAGTCTATAGTCTAGTCTATAGTCTAGTCTATAGTCTAGTCTATAGTCTAGTCTATAGTCTAGTCTATAGTCTAGTCTATAGTCTAGTCTATAGTCTAGTCTATAGTCTAGTCTATAGTCTAGTCTATAGTCTAGTCTATAGTCTAATCTATAGTCTAATCTATAGTCTAGTCTATAGTCTGGTCTATAGTCTAGTCTATAGTCTAGTCTATAGTCTAGTCTATAGTCTAGTCTATAGTCTAGTCTATGGTCTAGTCTATAGTCTAGTCTATGGTCTAGTCTATAGTCTAGTCTATAGTCTAGTCTATAGTCTAGTCTATAGTCTAGTCTATAGTCTAGTCTATAGTCTAGTCTATGGTCTAGTCTATAGTCTAGTCTATAGCCTAGTCTATAGTCTAGTCTATAGTCTGGTCTATAGTCGAGTCTATAGTCTAGTCTATAGTCCAGTCTATAGTCTAGTCTATAGTCTAGTCTATAGTCTAGTCTATAGTCTAGTCTATAGTCTAGTCTATAGTCTAGTCTATAGTCTAGTCTATAGTCTAGTCTATAGTCTAGTCTATAGTCTAGTCTATAGTCTAGTCTATAGTCTAGTCTATAGTCTAGTCTATAGTCTAGTCTATAGTCTAGTCTATAGTCTAGTCTATAGTCTAGTCTATAGTCTAGTCTATAGTCTAGTCTATAGTCTAGTCTATAGTCTAGTCTATAGTCTAGTCTATAGTCTAGTCTATAGTCTAGTCTATAGTCTAGTCTATAGTCTAGTCTATAGTCTAGTCTTAGTCTAGTCTATAGTCTAGTCTATAGTCTAGTCTATATTCTAGTCTATAGTCTAGTCTATAGTCTAGTCTATAGTCTAGTCTATAGTCTAGTCTATAGTCTAGTCTATATTCTAGTCTATAGTCTAGTCTATAGTCTAGTCTATAGTCTAGTCTATAGTCTAGTCTATAGTCTAGTCTATAGTCTAGTCTAGTCTATAGTCTAGTCTATAGTCTAGTCTATAGTCTAGTCTATAGTCTAGTCTATAGTCTAGTCTATAGCCTAGTATATAGCCTAGTATATAGAGACACAATATACTAGTAAATAGACTAGTATATTGTGTCTCTGTGGACAAGATAAGAGAGTAGTCTATAAACTAGACAATATAGTAGTTTATACTAGTCCAAAGACTAATTCAGAGAATAGAAAAGCTATCGGATAAAAACTGATCCTAAAAAGTACTCTCTATATGTAAAAGTTGTCTGGTTGTAATCTTTTCCATGATTCTTTACAATATAAGAGAATACTTCATGTTCTCTACGGTATTTTATTAAAAATTTTACCAAAGTCGCTAGTGCAATAGATCAATAGAGAAATATATATGTTTTAAAATTGTACAAAATGGGTCATTGGTGTACCATTGTACTTTTAAAGATCGAATTGTATCAAAAAAAAAAAAAAAAAAAAAACAATTGCACTAATTTTGCCAACACTGTCTCTAATGTATGACTAAGAGAGAAAATTATAAGTATAGTATACTCTCAATCAGTGCTGCCATATTTGCATACATTCTTCTAGGTTTACAGATCTTATTTATTTAGATGTTAGTCTCTAACTATGCGTTTACATCAGTGTTGCCCAAATACATACCGTTTCTAGTTTTACTACAGATTTATTATGTGTTTTTTTTAAGTTCTGGTAACACTGACATATTGTTTGATAACAAAATATCAAACAAACAAAAATTGGGATATTTCCCGCTCTATTGTACAACAACAGCATCGAGTAAGAAAGAAACTGTATATATATATATAAAAGCGTAATTTTTTTTAAAAACAAACTTAGTCAGTATTAAGAATTTACAAATAAAACAACCATAGTAATAATGGAAAATAATGAGTTTTTACAAAATAATGCAAGTGTTGAAATTGAACCGAAACAAAATTTTCATTTTCGCTATGAAAGTGAAATTAATCAGGGCAACACTCATGGTATTTTGAACGGTCAAAATGAAGATTATCCAAAACTTAAACTACTTTTGCCGGAAAATGCTGCTAAAGATGAGTGGGGTAATGAACGTGATATTTATGTACTCTGTTCATTGCATTGTTATGCCAATAATAAACCACTTTCGCCGCATCTTCTAATGATAAAGGGCAAAAAAGCCGTTAATTATAAATTTATATTCGAAAAAATGGAAACATCTGAACACAATGCTGCGGAGCGATTTTGGAAATTAAAAGAATATGTTATAGTACGTTTACAAAACAAACAATATAAACAATCTTTAGAAAATAAACAACGGGAATTTGGACAATTGGGTTTACCATTAAATTTCGAACGCCTATTAGGAACGTTAACGTTAAACGATTATCGTAGTGTAAAAGATAGTGGAAATTTAAATGTAAGTTTAAACAGGTGAAATATGTTTTTTTGATAATTTTGTTTAATAAATTTGTTTTTATTTATTTCAACAGGTCTGTCTGGGCTTTACGATCTTCGAAAGAGACTTTTACGAAAACACCTATTCTCTATACAGGGATCCAATATATTCGTGCAACATTTATCATGGTGATGATTTAAAAATCAAAAAATTATGCAACATCAAAGGCAGTATACGTGGCGGTACTGAAATAACAATTTTAATCAGATTGGAATCAAATTTGCCACTTAATGTTTCGATCAAAAAAATCAATGAAGAAACCAAAGAAACCGAATGGTTTACAGAAGTGCAAATTCCGGAGAAAAACATATTTCAAAATGCAGCCATTACATTTAATTTACCAAGGTACGATGGACCTCGTACAGATGATGAAGTAGAAATTGAAGTTAATATATGTGTTGTGGTTCGAGATACCACTTACAAAAGTGATAATGCTAAGTTTTATTACATAAATGAAAACTCATATAAACGTTCAATAGATGCAGTTGAATGTGATGTTCTTCAATTAGCAGAAAAGAAAGGAAAGAGGATAAAGAGTAACTATGTATCACGTGATAGCGCCGATTTGCCACCAGTTTTACCTCTTTCCGGGGAAAGTGTGAGTGACAAAATGATATCTCTAATTGATTCTACATTCAATAATGCAAAGGATGATACTTATTATACAAATATAGGTAAGTATTTAATAGTAAATTTCTGTATATACATATACACATATATAATTTGCATTTTAGATTCCTTCCTCTATACAAAGGCTAATGAAACCAAAAAGCAAAATCTAATTATCGATTTCCGTAATAAAGATCAGGAAAATCTCTTACACTGGGCTTGTAAAATGGACCACAGCAAAAGCATACGTCCCCTTATTGGACTGGGATGTCACATCAACGAGCAAGATATCTGGGGCAGAACACCATTACATGTTGCTCTAACTGCCCGACATGACGCTTGCATTTCGGAAATTCAATTGATATTTAAAAACTATTTACAATATTCGGAGAATGTAAAAGCGGATTTGGTAAAAATGTTGAAAACCTACAATCATAACGGCTACACAGTGTTACATGAAGCTGTGCTTAACCGTTATTACGAATTATTCGAAATTATGCTGATATTTATGCAGGAACATAAATTAAATATTTTGGATTATGAAGTATTGGGCAGTGGTGATTCTATTGCCCATTTAGCGGCTAAGAATAATACACTAATGGATATTGACTCTATAATCATGAAATATATACCAAATTATATGTCGGTTAAAAATTATGCTGGCCTAATGGCAAAGGATTTAAATGAAATGTTTTCTGAAAAATTGTCTATATAATTGCATTAAATTCGGATTTCTTATCTTTACAGTTTACTTTAACAATTTAGAAAGTAATTATTTATATTTTCTTATATTTCATATGATTTTTAGTTTCATTCCAATATCTATAAATCACTTTACAGTTACTTAAAAAAAATCTTACCGTCTTCCAAATTGTTTCCGCAACAACACCTTTACTATCTACAACGAAAAAGAACAGAGAAAAATATATATAAATAAAATAGTAACATACTTTAATCAATAAACATTGTTGCATAAAATTAATCCTAATAAATAATAACAAAGTTATAAGTATTCTATATATAAATAATTTTAAATTATTATTTTTAATACAAAATTCACATTAATTCCTTTATGTTAAAAATTAAGTAAATATACTTTATTCTTTTTTAATTCACCAAAAGAGGAAATTTAGATTATTAATTGTGTAAAAAACACAATTATTCGTTAACAACTTCTCGATTGAAAAAAAAATTTAACTTGGCATAAAAGCAAAAACTTTAGCAAATTCAATATTGGCTTTTTTAGGTCAAAGCTTTTCATTGGAGGGTAAATTGCAATTAATAAAAAAATAGTTTAATTCTTGGGAAATCAAGCACAAGCCATTGAAATTTTCTACATGAAATGAAAACTAAACAAACAAATTTTTTTGAATAATATTTGTGTTTTTGTATGATTTTATTTCACTTGAGAAAATCATAAAAAGTAATATAAATTAATATGTGCACATTAGAATGGTCCTACAAAAAATAACATTGTTCTAGTTCAGTTCTAGTTCAGTTTAGTTTAGTTCTAGTTCAGTTCTAGTTCAGTTCTAGTTCAGTTCTAGTTCAGTTCTAGTTCAGTTCTAGTTCAGTTCTAGTTCAGTTCTAGTTCAGTTCTAGTTCAGTCTAGTTCGTAGTTCAGTTCTAGTTCAGTTCTAGTTCAGTTCTAGTTCAGTTCTAGTTCAGTTCTAGTTCAGTTCTAGTTCAGTTCTAGTTCAGTTCTAGTTCAGTTCTAGTTCAGTTCTAGTTCAGTTCTAGTTCAGTTCTAGTTCTAGTTCTAGTTCTAGTTCTAGTTCTAGTTCAGTTCTAGTTCTAGTTCTAGTTCTAGTTCAGTTCTAGTTCAGTTCTAGTTCAGTTCTAGTTCAGTTCTAGTTCAGTTCTAGTTCAGTTCTAGTTCAGTTCTAGTTCAGTTCTAGTTCAGTTCTAGTTCAGTTCTAGTTCAGTTCTAGTTCAGTTCTAGTTCAGTTCTAGTTCAGTTCTAGTTCAGTTCTAGTTCAGTTCTAGTTCAGTTCTAGTTCAGTTCTAGTTCAGTTCTAGTTCAGTTCTAGTTCAGTTCTAGTTCAGTTCTAGTTCAGTTCTAGTTCAGTTCTAGTTCAGTTCTAGTTCAGTTCTAGTTCAGTTCCAGTTCAGTTCTAGTTCAGTTCTAGTTCAGTTCTAGTTCAGTTCTAGTTCAGTTCTAGTTCAGTTCTAGTTCAGTTCTAGTTCAGTTCTAGTTCAGTTCTAGTTCAGTTCTAGTTCAGTTCTAGTTCAGTTCTAGTTCAGTTCTAGTTCAGTTCTAGTTCAGTTCTAGTTCAGTTCTAGTTCAGTTCTAGTTCAGTTCTAGTTCAGTTCTAGTTCAGTTCTAGTTCAGTTCTAGTTCAGTTCTAGTTCAGTTCTAGTTCAGTTCTAGTTCAGTTCTAGTTCAGTTCTAGTTCAGTTCTAGTTCAGTTCTAGTTCAGTTCTAGTTCAGTTCTAGTTCAGTTCTAGTTCAGTTCTAGTTCAGTTCTAGTTCAGTTCTAGTTCAGTTTCTAGATCAGTTCAGTTCAGTTCTAGTTCAGTTCTAGTTCAGTTCTAGTTCAGTTCTAGTTCAGTTCTAGTTCAGTTCTAGTTCAGTTCTAGTTCAGTTCTAGTTCAGTTCTAGTTCAGTTCTAGTTCAGTTCTAGTTCAGTTCTAGTGCAGTTCTAGTTCAGTTCTAGTTCAGTTCTAGTTCAGTTCTAGTTCAGTTCTAGTTCAGTTCTAGTTCAGTTCTAGTTCAGTTCTAGTTCAGTTCTAGTTCAGTTCTAGTTCAGTTCTAGTGCAGTTCTAGTTCAGTTCTAGTTCAGTTCTAGTTCAGTTCTAGTTCAGTTCTAGTTCAGTTCTAGTTCAGTTCTAGTTCAGTTCTAGTTCAGTTCTAGTTCAGTTCTAGTTCAGTTCTAGTTCAGTTCTAGTTCAGTTCTAGTTCAGTTCTAGTTCAGTTCTAGTTCAGTTCTAGTTCAGTTCTAGTTCAGTTCTAGTTCAGTTCTAGTTCAGTTCTAGTTCAGTTCTAGTTCAGTTCTAGTTCAGTTCTAGTTCAGTTCTAGTTCAGTTCTAGTTCAGTTCTAGTTCAGTTCTAGTTCAGTTCTAGTTCAGTCTAGTTCAGTTCTAGTTCAGTTCTAGTTCAGTTCTAGTTCAGTTCTAGTTCAGTTCTAGTTCAGTTCTAGTTCAGTTCTAGTTCAGTTCTAGTTCAGTTCTAGTTCAGTTCTAGTTCAGTTCTAGTTCAGTTCTAGTTCAGTTCTAGTTCAGTTCTAGTTCAGTTCTAGTTCAGTTCTAGTTCAGTTCTAGTTCAGTTCTAGTTCAGTTCTAGTTCAGTTCTAGTTCAGTTCTAGTTCAGTTCTAGTTCAGTTCTAGTTCAGTTCTAGTTCAGTTCTAGTTCAGTTCTAGTTCAGTTCTAGTTCAGTTCTAGTTCAGTTCTAGTTCAGTTCTAGTTCAGTTCTAGTTCAGTTCTAGTTCAGTTCTAGTTCAGTTCTAGTTCAGTTCTAGTTCAGTTCTAGTTCAGTTCTAGTTCAGTTCTAGTTCAGTTCTAGTTCAGTTCTAGTTCAGTTCTAGTTCAGTTCTAGTTCAGTTTAGTTCAGTTCTAGTTCAGTTCTAGTTCAGTTCTAGTTCAGTTCTAGTTCAGTTCTAGTTCAGTTCTAGTTCAGTTCTAGTTCAGTTCTAGTTCAGTTCTAGTTCAGTTCTAGTTCAGTTCTAGTTCAGTTCTAGTTCAGTTCTAGTTCAGTTCTAGTTCAGTTCTAGTTCAGTTCTAGTTCAGTTCTAGTTCAGTTCTAGTTCAGTTCTAGTTCAGTTCTAGTTCAGTTCTAGTTCAGTTCTAGTTCAGTTCTAGTTCAGTTCTAGTTCAGTTCTAGTTCAGTTCTAGTTCAGTTCTAGTTCAGTTCTAGTTCAGTTCTAGTTCAGTTCTAGTTCAGTTCTAGTTCAGTTCTAGTTCAGTTCTAGTTCAGTTCTAGTTCAGTTCTAGTTCAGTTCTAGTTCAGTTCTAGTTCAGTTCTAGTTCAGTTCTAGTTCAGTTCTAGTTCAGTTCTAGTTCAGTTCTAGTTCAGTTCTAGTTCAGTTCTAGTTCAGTTCTAGTTCAGTTCTAGTTCAGTTCTAGTTCAGTTCTAGTTCAGTTCTAGTTCAGTTCTAGTTCAGTTCTAGTTCAGTTCTAGTTCAGTTCTAGTTCAGTTCTAGTTCAGTTCTAGTTCAGTTCTAGTTCAGTTCTAGTTCAGTTCTAGTTCAGTTCTAGTTCAGTTCTAGTCTTCTAGTTCAGTTCTAGTTCAGTTCTAGTTCAGTTCAGTTCTAGTTCAGTTCTAGTTCAGTTCTAGTTCAGTTCTAGTTCAGTTCTAGTTCAGTTCTAGTTCAGTTCTAGTTCAGTTCAGTTCTAGTTCAGTTCTAGTTCAGTTCTAGTTCAGTTCTAGTTCAGTTCTAGTTCAGTTCTAGTCAGTTCTAGTTCAGTTCTAGTTCTAGTCAGTTCTAGTTCAGTTCTAGTTCAGTTCTAGTTCAGTTCTAGTTCAGTTCTAGTTCAGTTCTAGTTCAGTTCTAGTTCAGTTCTAGTTCAGTTCTAGTTCAGTTCTAGTTCAGTTCTAGTTCAGTTCTAGTTCAGTTCTAGTTCAGTTCTAGTTCAGTTCTAGTTCAGTTCAGTTCTAGTTCAGTTCTAGTTCAGTTCTAGTTCAGTTCTAGTTCAATAAATTTATATATAAATAAATTTATATATACAATGTCAACGTTAACTCTTCCGTGAAAAGGGGACAAATGTAATATAAATATTTAGAAATATTTATTAATAAAAAGTGCAGTTGTTGTTATAACAATATAAATTTAAGAATATTTATTAATAAAGAATGGATTTTTGGTTATTAAACATTAACAATTTTTTTATATTAAACACGTCCTCTTAAGAAAATTAAAATGCCTAATTTTATATGCAATTTAAAGGCGATTTAAATATTTATTAAATATTTTATTTTTCAAAAACACATTTCTAATTTTTACATTTTTAGTTATTGACAAACATACATATAGCTGGCGGGTGGTGGCATTTTATTTTAGAACATATTTATAATAAGAACCGTAGTAAAATAGTTTAAATTCATCATTCTTCAATCATTAGTTAAATAGTTAAATAATGTATGTGAAATTTTAATGGTTTTCCCCTTTGAACTTGGGTTATCGCCTAGCAAATTTTATATAATGGGATGGGACAGTTAAATGTTGATATTCGATAAGACTTTAATTAACAGATGACGAGAAAAACATTTATGAGGGTATGAACAGTGTATTAAATATCGAATTCTCAAGGGATGATCTCATATTAGAAATTGACTTTTTCATTGTATCTGTATGCTGGCTTACGTAGTGCTAGAAAAATAACAGAGTTATAATTGATCAGGCCTTTTAAATGTTGTACTGTTGTAGCGAAGTTATAATAAAGGAACTTTTTTGTTCTTATTACACCATTCAAGTTATCTCTCTGAAAAAGGTAAAAGTTTTTCAATGGATCTTTATTCAGATAATAAAACTTAATAAGTATAAAATATTTATTTTATCGCCAATAAATTCAATTAAAAACTCTAAAGTGTATTAATCAGATTTAATTTGTTTAAAATTTCATTTAACTCTTTTAAAATAAATTCAATTAAAAATGTGGTCACTCTTAAAACTATAATTATAACAAAACATTGCCCAACATATGCTTATTATTCAAAACATATGCTATCTAGTCTAGTCTATAGGCTAGTTTATAGTCTAGTCTATTGTCTAGTCTATTGTCTAGTCTATAGTCTAGTCTATTGTCTAGTCTATTGTCTAGTCTATAGTCTAGTCTATAGTCTAGTCTATAGTCTAGTCTATAGTCTAGTCTATAGTCTAGTCTATAGTCTAGTCTATAGTCTAGTCTATAGTCTAGTCTATAGTCTAGTCTATAGTCTAGTCTATAGTCTAGTCTATAGTCTAGTCTATAGTCTAGTCTATAGTCTAGTCTATAGTCTAGTCTAGTCTAGTCTATAGTCTAGTCTAATAGTCTAGTCTATAGTCTAGTCTATAGTCTAGTCTATAGTCTAGTCTATAGTCTAGTCTATAGTCTAGTCTATAGTCTAGTCTATAGTCTAGTCTATAGTCTAGTCTATAGTCTAGTCTATAGTCTAGTCTATAGTCTAGTCTATAGTCTAGTCTATAGTCTAGTCTATAGTCTAGTCTATAGTCTAGTCTATAGTCTAGTCTATAGTCTAGTCTATAGTCTAGTCTATAGTCTAGTCTATAGTCTAGTCTATAGTCTAGTCTATAGTCTAGTCTATAGTCTAGTCTATAGTCTAGTCTATAGTCTAGTCTATAGTCTAGTCTATAGTCTAGTCTATAGTCTAGTCTATAGTCTAGTCTATAGTCTAGTCTAGTCTATAGTCTAGTCTATAGTCTACTCTATAGTCTAGTCTATTGTCTAGTCTATAGTCTAGTCTATAGTCTAGTCTATAGTCTAGTCTATAGTCTAGTCTATAGTCTAGTCTATAGTCTAGTCTATAGTCTAGTCTATAGTCTAGTCTATAGTCTAGTCTATAGTCTAGTCTATAGTCTAGTCTATAGTCTAGTCTATAGTCTAGTCTATAGTCTAGTCTATAGTCTAGTCTATAGTCTAGTCTATAGTCTAGTCTATAGTGTAATCTATAGTTTAGTCTATAGTCTAGTGTAGACTATAGACTAGACTTTAGACTAACTAAACGATAAACTAGAGGTTAGACTAGACTATAGATTAGATTTATAGCTAAAATCATAAGTTCTAGACAATCGGTCCGAACTACAGGGTTTTCCCTTTGATTTTTATATTAAGTATTGTATTGTTTATTGCTCGTTCTATGTGTGATGGTAGTGGATCCGATGATGAAACATTAGTACTAAGATGATAAAAATGATCATATAATTTATGTATGTTACATTTCATCATACTTTTTCGTGAAAAACACGTACACGTAATGAAATATGAAAATTTTTATGTGTTTTCTTTTCATTTTCGGTGAATAATTTCTTAACACTTGCTGTCAATTTGTGTCATAATTTAGTTTACGCTGATGGTAAATGCAAAATTTTGGCTTAATATTTTTAAAATATATACTTTATAAAATTGTATTTATTTAGTATCAATAAAATGCATACATAGTATGGAAATTGAAGAGCAATAAAGGTTAGCAAAGTTATATGTTTATAATATAATTAAATTGTCCCTTAAATTTTATGTACAATATATTTTAAATAGTAAAAAGTTGTATACTTTATATTTTCCAGCATAAAAGTTCTGTTTTATGTTAGTACGTACATTAGAGTGATAACTCTTATACAATATTTTCGTTATTAGAACACTACTGGCTACTACGTAGTGGTTATGCCCTAATGTACATACTTTTAAATTTATTCAAATTCATACAATTTAAGTGTAAATAATATGCACGTTTATAGCTCGTTTTTGTCCTTGCCCATTTTGTTATGGGAATTTCATGAAACGTGATGCAGCTTTCTAATCGCTCTTGTCCATTTTGATATTTACATTTTTATATAAATAAATATACACTTTATATAATTACATTTCCTGCGAATTAACAGCAAGGAATTGCTACACTGTAAATTGAAAGCTTATCCAACAACACAAACACTCTCAAGTATTCTATAGTCTAGTCTATAGACTAAGAATTTCATTGCATTGTTATTTTATTTGTCCGTGATCTTGTCTTTGCTTTTTTTTTTTTTGTAATTAGATTAATTTTTCTTTTTTGAACTTTAACCTCTTTAACAAAACGGATATATCTACTATTATTGCCAACATCTATTTTTGTATTATAAACAATTAAATTTTGGTTTCTTTTTCATTCATGTATTTACACTTCATGGTATATATGTATGTATGTTGTATTATTTTATTTACAATTTTTTTTTGTTTTTCCTAGCTAACATTGTTTTTTATAATTTTTTTTGTATAAAATTAATTCGCACTAAAATAGCAAATACTGACGTAATTTCATTCCCAAACAAAAGAAAAAAAATGTTCAAGTTTTCATAAAACCCTTACTTTTTTGTGAATACAAAAATAAATACGATGTACGAGACACTGAAAACAAATAGAAACAATTAAGAAAAAATAGTTCTCAGAAAGGGTTTGTATGTAATTTTTTGTTTTTTTTTTTTTTTTTTTACTTAAAAGAAAAATTGTTAGTGTAGAAAAAAAAACTACTACGTTTGTTTGTACGTCTTTGCTATGCAGCTATAACGAATCTTGTATAAAAACCATCAAAACATAAATATGACATAAATTTAAAGTGAATTTTCAAATGTGTCCGTCGGCCATATGTATGGACTTAGATATTTATAGAGCAATACTTTCAAAAAAGAAAGACTAGACTATAGACTAGACTATAGACTAGACTATAGACTAGACTATAGACTAGACTATAGACTAGACTATAGACTAGACTATAGACTAGACTATAGACTAGACTATAGACTAGACTATAGACTAGACTATAGACTAGACTATAGACTAGACTATAGACTAGACTATAGACTAGACTATAGACTAGACTATAGACTAGACTATAGACTAGACTATAGACTAGACTATAGACTAGACTATAGACTAGACTATAGACTAGACTATAGACTAGACTATAGACTAGACTATAGACTAGACTATAGACTAGACTATAGACTAGACTATAGACTAGACTATAGACTAGACTATAGACTAGACTATAGACTAGACTATAGACTAGACTATAGACTAGACTATAGACTAGACTATAGACTAGACTATAGACTAGACTATAGACTAGACTATAGACTAGACTACAGACTAGACTATAGACTAGACTATAGACTAGACTATAGACTAGACTATAGACTAGACTATAGACTAGACTATAGACTAGACTATAGACTAGACTATAGACTAGACTAGACTAGACTATAGACTAGACTATAGACTAGACTATAGACTAGACTATAGACTAGACTATAGACTAGACTATAGACTAGACTATAGACTAGACTATAGACTAGACTATAGACTAGACTATAGACTAGACTATAGACTAGACTATAGACTAGACTATAGACCAGACTATAGACTATATATATAAGACAATAGCCTAGTCTGTAGTCGATATTATAGACTAGTCTGTAGTCGAGACCATTGACCAGTCTATAGTCAAGACTATTGACTAGTTTACGAAAAATGTATGTATATAAATTGGTTTTTGTTAAAACGAGCATTGGAATTCAATCTATATTTGAGCCAAAAATAATTCTGGAGGAAAATCTGGGCTTATATTTCACCACAATAATTGAACAAGCCACCAGACGGATAGTTATCATTTAATCGATAACTGCTAAATACTTTAAACACGAATCACACATTTTGAAATTTTTGCTGTAAATTCAATTTAAACAATGTTATTTTGATATATAAACGAATATTAAGAAGAGTTTATTCAATTGAATTTAATTTTTATAATAAAGGAAATTCCCTGATTTTGAAAATGTAAACACATTTTTATTGTCAAAACTTTTAATATATAGGCAGAAAATAATTGAGATAAACAAACGAACCTCTCGAATGTATGACTAAGAGAGAAAATTGTATGTAAGCTCGCGAAACGCAATGAGCTCTCAAATGATCTCTTTTGTACTCTTTCCTAAGTATAAAAAGCAAACAAAACCAAGCAGAGAACTAATTTTTTACTCTCTGGCTATCGCTGATGTAAACACTCAATCAGTGTTGCCATGTTTGCATCAATATTGTTAAATATATGTATATAATTTATCAATAATGTCAAAGTGACAGATCTAATTTTTTCATGTGTTAGTGCCTAACTATTGAGGATTGGTGACGTGTCACAATGTCCAAGGGCGTTATAACACTTTTTAAACAGAAATTTCTTAAGGATTAAAGAAAAGGGACACTCTTATCCCGTAAAGAATTTCTCCTAAATTTGGTGTATGTTGCATTTTGGATTCCTTTTGAAAGGTTTCCCGGTTAGTCGCCCTTCAGCCAGTCGTAGGGTTTTAAAACATTATTTTCGGTATTTCGAATACCGACTTTGCTAAATTAAGCATTTTTTGATAAATGGACTCTTTGAAATCCATACACTAATAATTGTTTTCGGTTTTATAGGGCTTAAGACATTTATTGCTGATGATAAAAATAAAAAAAAAATGGTTTATTAGGGAAGATTACTTGTAATATTTTAGCAGTTTAAATTTTCAGAAATATAATATTTTCTTGTTTGAAGATTTATTTTTTTAAAAGTTCTGGCAACACTGACATATTGTTTGATAACAAAATATTAAACAAAGAAACATTGGGATATTTCCCGCTAGAGTTACTAATAAATACAGTTTTGTTCTCTATTTTACTAAATGAGTATCGAGTGAGAGAGCCACTATATAAAAGCTTATTAGTAACAACTTTATTTAGTCTTGAGAATTTGCAATAATGGAAAACAACGAGTTTTTAAACAATAATGCAAGTGTTGAAATTGAACCGAAACAAAATTTTCATTTTCGCTATGAAAGTGAAATTAATCAGGGCAACACTCATGGTATTTTGAACGGTCAAAATGAAGATTATCCAAAACTTAAACTACTTTTGCCGGAAAATGCTGCTAAAGATGAGTGGGGTAATGAACGTGATTTTTATGTACTCTGTTCATTGCATTGTTATGCCAATAATAAACCACTTTCGCCGCATCTTCTAATGAAAAAGTGCAAAAAAGCCGTTAATTATAAATTTATATTCGAAAAAATGGAAACATCTGAACACAATGCTGCGGAGCGATTTTGGAAATTAAAAGAATATGTTATAGTACGTTTACAAAACAAACAATATAAACAATCTTTAGAAAATAAACAACAGGAATTTGGAGAATTGCCTTTACCATTAAAGTTTGAACGCCTTCTAGGACCGTTGAATCTAGAAGATTCTCAAAGTGTACAAGATAGTGGAAAATTAAATGTAAGTAAAATATGTTTTTTTTTACATTTACTAAAGAATTCTTTTTAACCGTAACGATGTCAACATGATGTTAACAGTCTATTATACAGAGATTTTTTAATATAAAAAACTCTTACAAGGGCATTTTTTTTAAGGAAGAGTTAAATTTTAGACGACAATTTAGCCGCCACCGATATTTTCTATAATAAGCCGCCGCCGACCAAAAATGGTTGCGCTGCTGCCGCCTATCATTTTGCATCGGCTTATATCTCTGATCTGCACACAGTCGATTAACAATAAAGCAATTTATTTTGAATGCTTATAGTTACTGCTGATTTTGTTTTATAAAATTAATTTCTCTTTTTTCTTTTAACAGGTCTGTCTGGGCTTTACGATCTTTGAAAAAAACTTTTACGAAAACACCTATTCTTTATACAGAGATACAATATATTCGTGCAACATTTATCATGGCGATGATTTAAAAATCAAAAAATTATGCAACATCAAAGGCAGTATACGTGGCGGTACTGAAATAACAATTTTAATCAGATTGGAAACAAATTTGCCACTTAATGTTTCGATCAAAAAAATCAATGAAGAAACCAAAGAAACCGAATGGTTTACAGAAGTGCAAATTCCGAAGGAAAACATATTTCAAAAAGCAGCCATTACATTTAATTTACCAAGGTACGATGGACCTCGTACAGATGATGAAGTAGAAATTGAAGTTAATATGTGTGTTGTGGTTCGAGATACCACTTACAAAAGTGATAATGCTAAGTTTTATTATATAAATGAAAAAACATATAAACGTTCAATAGATGCAGTTGAATGTGATGTTCTTCAATTAGCAGAAAATAAAGGAAAGAGGATAAAGAGTAACTATGTATCACGTGATAGCGCCGATTTGCCACCAGTTTTTCCTCTTTCCGGTGAAAGTGTGAGTGGCAAAATGATATCTCTAATTGATTCTACATTCAATAATGCAAAGGATGATACTTATTATACAAATATAGGTAAGTATTTAATAGTAAATTTCTGTATATACATACATATACACATATATAATTTGCATTTTAGATTCCGTATTTTACAAAGCTTTAGAAAACAGAGACACTCTAATACATCTCTATACAAAGGCTAATGAAACCAAAAAGCAAAATCTAATTATCGATTTCCGTAATAAAGATCAGGAAAATCTCTTACACTGGGCTTGTAAAATGGACCACAGCAAAAGCATACGTCCCCTTATTGGACTGGGATGTCACATCAACGAGCAAGATATCTGGGGCAGAACACCATTACATGTTGCTCTAACTGCCCGACATGACGCTTGCATTTCGGAAATTCAATTGATATTTAAAAACTATTTACAATATTCGGAGAATGTAAAAGCGGATTTGGTAAAAATGTTGAAAACCTACAATCATAACGGCTATACAGTGTTACATGAAGCTGTGCTTAACCGTTATTACGAATTATTCGAAATTATGCTGATATTTATGCAGGAACATAAATTAAATATTTTGGATTATGAAGTATTGGGCAGTGGTGATTCTATTGCCCATTTAGCGGCTAAGAATCATATATTAATGGATATTGAATCTATATTCACGAAATATATACCCAACTATATGTCGGTTAAGAATTATGCTGGCATAATGGCAAAGGATTTAAATGAAGAGTTTTCTGAAAAATTATCTATATAAATGGAATTTCTTCTTATATGTATAAAAATATTTCCTTTTAAAAAGTTATTCTTTATTTATGTTTTACTCATACGCCATTTTCTTATTTCCCTACTTACTGCTAGATGGCATTTTTCTTACAATTACGTACATTGAAAATGATAAAATATTTCATATGATTTATAACGAATGAATGATATGAGAACCATTTCTATAATGTTATTTATGTATATTTTTAATTATAATTTCTCACCGCTTTCCAACTTGTATCCGCAACAACTCCTTTACTATCTACAATGAAAAAGAACAGAGAAAAATTATATGTAAATAAAATAGTAACATACTTTTGGGAGTTAACATAAATCAATAAACACTGTTGCATACTTTTATCGTAAATATCAAACAATCAAATATCAACAATCATAAAATTAATGTAAATAAATATTAACAATTTAAAAAAACATATTTTTTTAATACCTTTTAGGTTTAAAATTATTAAAAAAATATTTGTTAATAATTTAAAATTTTCTCAATAATTTAAAATGCCAATTGATTTTTACTATTTTTTTTTTTTTTTTTGTTTATATTTGATTAAATGTAGTTAATTATTCGTTACCCACTTCTCGATACTTTAAAACACTAATTAGCAAAAAAAATTAAACTTGGCATATAAGCAAAAACTTAAGCAAATTAAATAATATTTTAGGTCAAAGCATTTCATTCGAGGGTGAATTGCAATTAATAAAAATTTATTTTATATTTTTTTAATTCTTTGGAAATCAAGCACAAGCAATTGAAATTTTCTACATAAAATGAAACAAAACAAACATTTTTTTTTGCTTTTGTATGTTTTCATTTCACTTGAGAAAATCATAAAAAGTAATAAAAGTTAATGTGTGCACATTAGACTGGTCTTACAAAAAATAACACTGTTCTAGTTCAGTTCTAGTTCCAGTTCTAGTTCAGTTCCAATTCTAGTTCAGTTCCAATTCTAGTTCAGTTCTAGTTTAGTTCTAGTTCAGTTCTAGTTCAGTTCTAGTTCAGTTCTAGTTCAGTTCTAGTTCAGTTCTAGTTCAGTTCTAGTTCAGTTCTAGTTCAGTTCTAGTTCAGTTCTAGTTCAGTTCTAGTTCAGTTCTAGTTCAGTTCTAGTTCAGTTCTAGTTCAGTTCTAGTTCAGTTCTAGTTCAGTTCCAGTTCAGTTCTAGTTCAGTTCTAGTTCAGTTCTAGTTCAGTTCTAGTTCAGTACTAGTTTAGTTCTAGTTCAGTTCTAGTTCAGTTCTAGTTCAGTTCTAGTTCAGTTCTAGTTCAGTTCTAGTTCAGTTCTAGTTCAGTTCTAGTTCAGTTCTAGTTCAGTTCTAGTTCAGTTCTAGTTCAGTTCTAGTTTATAGTCTAGTTTATAGTCTAGTCTATAGTCTAGTCTATAGTCTAGTCTATAGTCTAGTCTATAGTCTAGTCTATAGTCTAGTCTATAGTCTAGTCTATAGTCTAGTCTATAGTCTAGTCTATAGTCTAGTCTATAGTCTAGTCTATAGTCTAGTCTATAGTCTAGTCTATAGTCTAGTCTATAGTCTAGTCTATAGTCTAGTCTATAGTCTAGTCTATAGTCTAGTCTACAGTCTAGTCTATAGTCTAGTCTATAGTCTAGTCTATAGTCTAGTCTATAGTCTAGTCTATAGTCTAGTCTATAGTCTAGTCTATAGTCTAGTCTATAGTCTAGTCTATAGTCCTAGTCTATAGTCTAGTCTATAGTCTAGTCTATAGTCTAGTCTATAGTCTAGTCTATAGTCTAGTCTATAGTCTAGTCTATAGTCTAGTCTATAGTCTAGTCTATAGTCTAGTCTATAGTCTAGTCTATAGTCTAGTCTATAGTCTAGTCTATAGTCTAGTCTATAGTCTAGTCTATAGTCTAGTCTATAGTCTAGTCTATAGTCTAGTCTATAGTCTAGTCTATAGTCTAGTCTATAGTCTAGTCTATAGTCTAGTCTATAGTCTAGTCTATAGTCTAGTCTATAGTCTAGTCTATAGTCTAGTCTATAGTCTAGTCTATAGTCTAGTCTATAGTCTAGTCTATAGTCTAGTCTATAGTCTAGTCTATAGTCTAGTCTATAGTCTAGTCTATAGTCTAGTCTATAGTCTAGTCTATAGTCTAGTCTATAGTCTAGTCTATAGTCTAGTCTATAGTCTAGTCTATAGTCTAGTCTATAGTCTAGTCTTAGTCTAGTCTATAGTCTAGTCTATAGTCTAGTCTAGTCTAGTCTAGTCTAGTCTATAGTCTAGTCTATAGTCTAGTCTATAGTCTAGTCTATATCTAGTCTATAGTCTAGTCTATAGTCTAGTCTATAGTCTAGTCTATAGTCTAGTCTATAGTGTAGTCTATAGTTTAGTCTAGTCTAAAGTCTAGTCTATAATCTAGTCTATAGTCTAGTCTATAGTTTAGTATAGTCTAGTCTATAGTCTAGTCTATAGTCTAGTCTATAGTCTAGTCTAGACTATAGTCTAGTCTATAGTCTAGTCATAGTCTAGTCTATAGTCTAATTTATAGTCTAGTCTTTAGTCTAGCTTTAGTCTGGTCTACATTCCAATCGATAGTATAATTCAAAAATTTTTATTATATTATTTTTGATATAGAGTGCTTAAGTTTCGAACAATACTGTAAGTGGCCAGCAAGCAACTTTACACCTGGGAAACTTTTAAAATCCATAATTTGTTCTAAATATAAAAAACATGTGTAAACAATTGATTGAAATCAAACCCATCATCATCGAACTATTTGTTTGTTGTACAAATAGATTATAATGAAATAGAGACAGAGAACGACCTTTCCTATACGAGAGAGCAAAAAAACAAAACAAATAAAAACAAACTAAAAGTATTGAGAAGGAAAAAAATAAAAGTGATTGCAGTTAAGGGTTGCCAACTATAGGTAGAATCTATTGAATCACAATTCTGCAATAATAGATTCTTTTCTTCGATAAATTTTATTTCGAATTCTTGCGCTTCAAAAAATTGTGTTTATCAAATTCTAATATCCATAAAAATGAGATAAAGTTCAAAAAGTCATCACTTTCAAAAATGTTCAAGTATTTTCTTTTAAGTATGCACAATTTCCTGTCCACTAATTTGTTTTATCCATCTTAAAATTCTACAATTCCCCGGGCAAAGCCCGTCTTTACAAAAACCTGGCAATTCTATAGAAAAACTTATAGCCGCAATAATAAATAACAACAAATAGCTATGAATCATATTTGTTTTTCAATTCTTACATTAAATGCCGGTCACTGAAGCTTGTCTACAATATAAATACACAAAACAAAGAAAAAATGCTGATAAGAAATAAACAACAACGTTATGCTTTGCGTATTTACAAAAACAACATTTTGAAAACTTTGAATTGTAACATGTACTATTATAATTAATCGGTAATACTTATTATTAGATTTAGACTGTTATACTTCAGAAAACTCTTCTTATAAATATTATATTAAGAAAACCCCTGATTATAGACTAGACGATAGACCAACCTATAGACTAGACTGGATGATTAACCAGTCCATAGACCAGACTATAGACTAGACTATAGACTAGACTATAGACTAGACTATAGACTAGACTATAGACTAGACTATAGACTAGGCTATAGACTAGACTATAGACTAGACTATAGACTAGACTATAGACTAGACTATAGACTAGACTATAGACTAGACTATAGACTAGACTATAGACTAGACTATAGATAGACTAATAGACTAGACTATAGACTAGACTATAGACTAGGCTATAGACTAGACTACAGACTAGACTATAGACTAGACTATAGACTAGACTATAGACTAGACTATAGACTAGACTATAGACTAGACTATAGACTAGACTATAGACTAGGCTATAGACTAGACTAAGACTAGACTATAGACTAGACTATAGACTAGACTATAGACTAGACTATAGACTAGACTATAGACTAGACTATAGACTAGACTATAGACTAGACTATAGACTAGACTATAGACTAGACTATAGACTAGACTATAGACTAGACTATAGACTAGACTATGGACTAGACTATAGACTAGACTATAGACTAGACTATAGACTAGACTATAGACTAGACTATAGACTAGACTATAGACTAGACTATAGACTAGACTATAGACTAGACTATAGACTAGACTATAGACTAGACTATAGACTAGACTATAGACTAGACTATAGACTAGACTATAGAACTAGACTATATAACTAGACTATAGACTAGACTTAGACTAGGCTTTAGACTAGACTATAGACCAGACTATAGACCTAGACTATAGTCTAGACTATAGACTAAGACTATAGACCAGACTATAGTCTAGACTATAGACTAGACTATAGACCAGACTATAGTCTAGACTATAGACTAGACTCTAGACTAGACTATAGACTAGACTATAGACTAGACTATAGACTAGACTATAGACTAGACTATAGACTAGACTATAGACTAGACTATAGACTAGACTATAGACTACACTATAGACTAGACTATAGACTAGACTATAGACTAGACTATAGACTAGACTATAGACTAGACTATAGACTAGACTATAGACTAGACTATAGACTAGACTATAGACTAGATATAGACTAGACTATAGACTAGACTATAGACTAGACTATAGACTAGACTATAGACTAGACTATAGACTAGACTATAGACTAGACTATAGACTAGACTATAGACTAGACTATAGACTAGACTATAGACTAGACTATAGACTAGACTATAGACTAGACTATAGACTAGACTATAGACTAGACTATAGACTAGACTATAGACTAGACTATAGACTACTATAGACTAGACTATAGACTAGACTATAGACTAGACTATAGACTAGACTATAGACTAGACTATAGACTAGACTATAGACTAGACTATAGACTAGACTATAGACTAGACTATAGACTAGACTATAGACTAGACTATAGACTAGACTATAGACTAGACTATAGACTAGACTATAGACTAGACTATAGACTAGACTATAGACTAGACTATAGACTAGACTATAGACTAGACTATAGACTAGACTATAGACTAGACTATAGACTAGACTATAGACTAGACTATAGACTAGACTATAGACTAGACTATAGACTAGACTATAGACTAGACTATAGACTAGACTATAGACTAGACTATAGACTAGACTATAGACTAGACTATAGACTAGACTATAGACTAGACTATAGACTAGACTATAGACTAGACTATAGACAAGACTATAGACTAGACTATAGACTAGACTATAGACTAGACTATAGACTAGACTGTAGACTAGACTATAGACTAGACTATAGACTAGACTATATACTAGACTATATACTAGACTATAGACTAGACTAGACGATAGACTAGACTAATAGACTAGACTATAGACTAGACTATATAGACTAGACTATAGACTATAGAACTAGAC